ACTCGTCGAATTGGTGCTACACCGGAAACGGAGCAAGGCAGGAAGTTCCTGAAAAGTCGATCACCTTACTTTTCTGCACAGCGGATCAGCAAGCCGTTGCTGATAGCACAGGGGGCGAATGACCCTCGAGTAAAAAAGCACGAGTCTGATCAGATTGTCGACGTCCTCAAATCAAATGATGTTCCTGTAACGTATCTGCTGTTCCCAGACGAAGGCCACGGATTTGTAAGGCCTGAAAATCGGTTGGCTTTCTACGTCTTCGTTGAGGCGTTTCTGCAGCGATGCCTCGGCGGTGAGTCGCAACCGGCAGAGTCTGATTTGGAGGGCTCTAGCGTTGAAGTGAAAGTTCAAAACATGGCTGGTCAGTCGTGACTCAGGTGGAGGCTCGCCGCTGAATAAGAGATGCCTTTCCAACCACTACGTATAACCGCTTGTTCCCTGTGAAAGACGACGATACGCTAGCTGCCGGCCGTCTAGCCAAACCAAACTAGCACTACAAACCGTTCTGTAAAGATCCAGATACATAGTTTGCGGCTCGGAACTTTTACCGCGATGACGGATGTATATGCAAGTCATGTCATAACGAACTGCCAAGTATATATATTAAAATATTAAAGATCTTAATGAATTGTCTATCTACGCTGCTGTCGTTATTTACGTATCATTGCCTTGGCCATAGCGTCTTTTCTATGCGATATCTGTTATGTTCAAAGCTTTTTACCGGTTTTGGTGTACGGCACAAGTTACTGTAACATAGAAAGTAGTGTTACTCTCCGAAAACAAATATGCTCTTTCTTTGATCCTCTACGTTGTACGCCAGATCCATGTTCGACATCTGCTGAGTTTCGGTTTCTGCACGAAAAGCTAATGGGCTGGAGAAAATGATTTATGCCCAACCAGTTTATCTGACAGGGCCAACCTCAATTTCTTAATCTCCACTCTACTGAAGTCACCTGTGCCCGGCAGAGAATAAAGTCATACCTTGCATGATTTTGTCGTTATCGTTAACCATCATCATACGTTGTACACTGTTCAACCGTCGTTCCTGTTCTTTCGTTACAACAACCATCTCTATGACGTACAACAGCTGATATGCGTTAGGCACGGAACAGGATAATTACAAAGGAAAGAGTTATCTGTCTCACGCAAGCTATTGGGCAGGTCTCCAAAAGCGCTTGACATGTGAGATCGATTCACCTCTTTAATCTTGGTTAGATGGGGCCATCTTTGGAGATGGTGGAGCCAAGAAGCCTAAGTTGGTCAGCGCTTCACTTCCCTGATTTACTTGCAGATCAACCATGTCTGGTGGCCCTTCATAAATTTGGTCTTCCAAGTGCTAAGCAAGAGGCCAACATTTGCAGATGCGTTGCATGCAGGAGTCCTCAAGTGACAGAGCCCGCACCTCGTACTACTCAGGAGGATAATACCGTTTTTTACTCTGAAACAGGTAGATCCCGCCGGTTATCTTGAACTGCGCTTCGTCCCAAGAATAAGACCTTCGTGTTTTCAGGTTCAGCACTGTTTCGCAGAAGGAAGCCCAGAAAAATGTTGAACAGAACAGGCGAAAGAACATTTTCGTAGCAAATTCCAATGTTAATAGAGAATCACTCAGCGAGAACTCCTTCAACTTTAACAGCAGTCAATTTCTTCATACATCTGTTCCAAAATGAAAACGATATGAGGAGGCATTAAATAGCATTTCACGGGTTTCCACGTCGTTGGACAATGCAATGAATCAGATGGATCATAAAGTCGATGAAGCTGACAAAACCACGCAGCTATTTCTGTCTTACACCACGGAACAGGTGTAAACAGTCGAACGCAAATATCGACTCAGTGCGAAACGTTGGCAGCGCGAAGCAAGTCATGCGCTGCATTAATGTTGAGTTTTCGAGGCATACGCAATATGATATTACGTAACATGGAAACCAGTAGAGTTTTCCTCTACTAGAAGGGGACCTTGGGAACCTTGTACTCTGAAGGGGCATACGCATCTTAATGAATATTAAGACATGGATGGCTGCAAGGGTGAAGCGAGCTCCGGATAAAATCAGAATGTCAGAGTGCCTTCAGGAGAGAAAATGTTCGAATAAACCACATTCCCTGCCTGATCCGTGGCAGAACGTGATCAGGACGTTGAAAGTGCTCGTACTCCATGTCAATGCGAACTTTCGGTAGGGGGGTTCGTTTAAATGGCGTATGCCACACTTTCAAAAAGTGGACGGCAAACTAACTGGCCA